TAATATTAAACCAGTAATGTCTTTTGAAAGTTCAAATAAAGCCCTTCAATATATTTGTCAATGCTTTTCTCGCCCGATAACTGAACGTTTGAAACTCTCATGCAGAACTCGTGACTTGGGGAGTAAAATGTCAGAAAAGGAGCGAGTCCTCTTTCGCCGCGGTAGGGATGCGCGTCCGCTGGCGTCTCCTGCCGCCCTCACTAAGGACAAATATTTTGTGAGGCAGGTTAGTGGGATCCGCAACAAATGTATCTGGCGTTTGAAAGAGTATTTTATTCACAGTAACGAATAGCATTCGTAAGGTGCTGAACCAATGTATTATTCATGGATCTTATTTGAAATATTGTGGGCGAAAGACAGATGGACGGACATAAGAGCTCACGGGCATGACACAGGCGGATTGGCTGACGGTCACACTGACGATAAGACGGACAGGTGGGCGTTAAAAAAACTTTATTGAGGGGACCCTAAATCGTATAACACCGACAAAATGCCAAGACTTATTTTTTGCAGCATTTCTTTTTTTTCTTTCCACGTACATCCAAGTGAGAATGTAAAACATTTTTTGCACACTGCACATGTCGCCTCTACAAACGGAGACACTGATTGTTGATCGTCGCCAAGGTAAAAGATAAAGAAGGTAGAAAGCTCTGCCGTATTGTAGTGTTTCCGACAATCGGGCACTCAAGAATTGCTGCCTACAATATGACGACGCAGATTCGGAGCTAAAGAGATATCACAAGTAGCTCTCTACGATATTGACATTCAGCGTGCTGCAACGAGAGCACTTACCATAAATTACAAATTCACTCGTCTTTTGGAATTTTACATCATTTACATTAATAATATCAACGTTAGCGCAATTTTATTACTCGTGTGTAATTTTGTTTTCGAAAACTGGTATAGATTTGTAAGCTTAGAAATAGAAGTAATAAAAACCAATCTAACAATATCCCCCCAAACCCCCAAACTTTGTTCATATTAATTCGTCAATTGTTATTTTGAAGACAGTTATGTGGAATTATTTGTATTTTTATAATTGTGTATTATGTTTATTATAAATAAAATTAAATTGGTCTATGAAACAAACAATTATTTTCAGAGCGATCGATAGAAGAAAAAAATTAGGAACCCCTGTACTAGTTGTCTGTTAAGAAACCCGGAATGCCAAGTCAATTCCTAGTTTCTTAAGTTAGTTAGAACACAAGATCAAAGTATGGAAGAAATGTTAACGTGAAATGGGAACGTAGGGTACGTATAATGAAATGTTTTCATAGATCAAAATGTGCTCCAATAAGTTATATAAAATGCAATTAATGAAATTCATTAAAAATCTGCTTTGCTGAAGTCTTACACAGCATTAATTAACTTCCAAAAAACACATGAAAACTTCGAAATGACAATCTTATTTAGGAGCTTCTGGTACTTATGGAAGAATTGGGTTTGACCTTTTTGTATCCCTTGGAATCATTAAAGTAGAGATTGTCACCGATATCCCCTCGTTCTTGCACAAGAATTTGAGATCCATTTATTCCTTTCATACTCTATTGGTTCGTAGTGACTTGATCTCTGTCTTGCGAATACTGACCTGACCGGTAATTTTGTAGAAACATGCATTATGTGCAAGGATCATGAAATTTCTTCGCCACGACGAATGCAGATTTTTTGACATACATTGATCATATGAAACAGTTAAGGGGATTGATTATATAAATCGAAAACTTCGTTAACAATTTGAACCACAAAATCTAGAATAGTTTTAGTCGACTTGGAATTGAATTGTCCCTAGTGCAATATATATCAAGGGAAATCCTTTTTTTTTCCATCACACCTGTCAGCTCATCCTAGACTCGTGCTCTCGGAGCTTGATCGCTGGAGTGTCGTTGGAGTTATTTCCCTCCCCGCGAGCAGCCCATTCAGGTGCCGGGCTGGGTCCGCGCTGCGCCGGTGGGAGCCGGTGGCCCCCTGCTCTCGCTCACTGTAAACGACTCCGAAGTGCTCCGCGGCGCGAATGTCCGCGCGCGTTTATCGCAATGGATTTGCCGCTTTGTACACGTGCTGGCCGTTACGCGGGTTATTACCGTAGCGCTATTACGAGGCGCGTTGAAATAGAGCGGGGCGAGCGGCGTGAACGGCTCGTGTGAACGGGTCCGGGACGGGGACGGGGACGCCACTTGTTGGGGACAGGCGTATTGAGCGGGTCCGGCTCGTGCGGCGCAGCATCGATTCTCGAGGTCGATCCTGTTTTGGTCGATCGGGCACGGGCGACGCGTCCTCGCTGGCGAAGGGTGGGTTGGTGGGTGGGCCCACTGCCTAGGGGCAAGGGGGCGGGGCAAGATGGAGGGGTCATGGAGCGGGGAGTTCACAAGGCCCTGAGGGGGCTGATGCGTGTATTCTCGTACGCAAACACATTTCTTTCTCTATTTAAATCCGATCGCTGTTCAGTGATAAATTCTCGCAATTCGCAGTTGGTGTGGTCAGGAAAACGAACGGCTGGCAGAGTGATGTGGGGCTAGAAAGAAGATAGTTTCCTCTCACGAAGCAGGCGACAAAAACCTCATGGAAAACGTTACTGGTTGCTTGAACCAATTCATTTTCAATTTCTATTTTTACGTGGAATTTTGTGCTCTATTCTACTAAGAAGCAAGTCGCTAAGAAATCCTCTCCCCATTGCTCTCATATGTTGAGTGCAATGTTCGTTGAACTTGCGTCAGTGAAATAGGTCTATTCGCACGAATACATTTCCATCAAGGAAGATCGCGATAAGAACATTAGACCAAATATGGTGATAAGGTATTGAAAAAAAAAAAAAACTTAAAAACTTAAAAATAGAGATTCGCACACATTCGACTTCGACATGGTTTCTTGAACATTGCTTGAATACAATTTGTAGCGGTGGTGTGCGGGGAGGGGGGGTTAGAGGACTTCTAGAGGGAGGAAAATGTCGTTAGGGCTTCATGTAAAAAAATCTTCAGAAATTAAAAAAATCCGTTTCAAATTAAAGGAACCGCGACATCAACCATATCGATCGGTGAAAAACAAATTTGGTGGAAATCCTATGTACGGTTTAGGCGCTAGCATGCACAGACGGACGGACTGGCTCATTGACAAAAATCGGAATCAAGAACCCACAAAACGTGGAATCTGCCTTCACTACGCTTTCGAGAAAGTAATTTACTTTTAATTTTGAGAAAGTAATTTACTATCTATGGGGGGGGGATACTTTTTCGACATCAGGAGCCGACTAGTTCTCTAAAAAATGGTCTTTTGCTGCAGTGTTTTCCTTACATTCCCTTTTTCTACGTAGTATTATGCGCAAAAATAAAAAAAAAAATATACAACAAGAGGATTGTTTTTCTAAGAGCAAATATATTTTTCCCTTTATAAACTATAGAAAAAATGTTCCAGTCAGTATTGCTATTGTTGAATAAAATAATAAAAAATATTTTTATACAGCCATTAGTAAAAGCTGTTCTTTCAGGGCATGCGTAATGAAATAAAAGTTCTATTTTTAGCACTAGTACTAAAAGTGAGACGATGCTCAAGTGTTTAATAAATCGGTGAACGCAACAAACAAAACATCGGCAAAGGTGGTTTAGAGCATCAGCTGATGCCACTACAGAACTGGGAGGGCCTGAGGTTCGAGTTCCGACGTTCGCAGGATTCACCTGCTGTCCGGAGAAGAATTCTAGCGGCCAGCTGCTCTGATCGGTTGTTGGCAGACCGAGCTCGCCCCGGGTTGCGCGTCACCTCGCTGGTGAGAGATACCTCGTTGAGGGAAAAACCCCTAGCTGCCGGTAGATCGGACCCGGATCTCGTCATCCAGAGGGGAAAGAAAACCGTTATCTCCTGCACTAAAACACGCTTCACATTTGCGGGATATTGACCTTAGCAGTTGACGCGCCCAGAATCACTAATCAATCAATCAAAAGAAAACAAAACAATTTCGTCTCACTGTATCAGCTTCTACTGACCTTAATGCATCATTAAGGGGTTTGTGTTCTTGATGAAGTCAGTAAGGAGTCTCAACTACGGGGGCCTGATGGGGAGATGAGTACGAAAACCGTCGGCAGCTAATCGGACACACTTATCTCCAGTGACATTACGCGGTGAATAGAGGAACTTATCTTTCCTTTTGACGGCCAATAACGACGCACGTACACGCACTTGACCAACGCCATCTTCACTTTAGTATGTGTAAAGAAATGTAGATGGCGCTGATTTGACACATGAGCTTGATGGCCATTGGCCGAAAATTGACCGCGTGATGTCGCTGAAACTGAGTTTTTCCACCCACTGATTTTTATAAATACCTGCTGAAGCTTTTCATAAATACCTCCAACAATGGATATGAGTCCCTTTCTTACAGACATCGTTTGTTTACTAACTTGTGTTAAAATAAAATTAAAGTGAGCAAGGATGCCTAAGAAATTAACACATATGGTTAAGTAATTTTATTTTGCTTGTAGGATTGCTCCACTCGGCCTATCGGCCTCGTATCGAAACCTTTCCTACTCGCAAAATAAGATGTCACTTTTATCACCCGTATCGTAATCAACTTTTTTCTCACAATAGTTGGTTGTGTGTGGACACAAGTTGTAAGCTTCTTATCATAGTTCATAAATAACTGACTTACGAAAAAACGTCTTTACACTGATTCTATGTTTATAATCATGACATTGAGTTAAACAAAATTGCTAAAAACTATTTTAAAAAAGGTGAATCTGCACGATCATAAAATGGAATTATAAAATGGATGAGACTGTAAAACATTTGTCACAAATTAATCACAAGATATAGATTTTATTTTATTTTAGCAGTTGTTTACACTTTAAAATTAATGATAGTGTAATAATTAGCACCCAAATATTGCGAGAACTTAATTTTTTTGATTAACTCTTTCCACCTTGCAACGCATTTTTCGCTGTCGTACCTTGCGCCTCAAAGCGAGTTGTTTTAAATAGTTTCTAATCAAAATATGGAATGATAGTAACACTTACCGTGACACATGTCTGCTCTAACTTTCGACGAAAAAGGAAAATCGTCGAGAAGAAGAGGACCACGGCTTTGTACTCCTTTCATCTACAAAAAGAAAAGTCATCTTAGGTTTCACTCATATAAATCACAACTACAGAGTTACAAGTTCAATGCTATGAGTTTACAAACATGCGTAGTCTGAGAGCACCATTACAAAATTATCCATCAAAGACATTGCGACAATAATTAATCACTTCATAAAATGAGCATAATGGAAAAGATAAGTTAAGGGCTTAGCGGTGAAACTACATAAATTCTATTTATAGGAAATATTATTTGTTCTGACTGCATCTTTTCTTTAATTTAAAAAGGCATATTGTTCTAACCAGTTCGAGAGGAAACAATTTAGTTACGCATGGACGGCGCGCTCCATACGTTCTGACAATAGAATGGACCGTAACATTTCTCTTCTTAAAACACGTAGTTATTTTAGAGCACTGCCAGCTCAAGAACATTTCTCAGAACACCAAACGACCTCCCGTCGATGTTGGGAGGAAAGGTTGGGTATCGTTATGTCAAACAGAACGAGACAATACTTGTTTGTCTTTTTCCGAGAAACATATTTTTTAAGGCATGCATACATGCATGAGCACCCCGTACTGGCCATATATGAACACTTCAATAATATGAGTTCAGACCTTCAAAATATCAGAATATCAAATATATTTATTAAGGCGTCGTGCGACGGAGGCAAATAACGTCTCTTCCTTAATAGGTGTATCTCGAAACATACATTGGGAGACATGCAGAAATCTGAAACAGTGCGCACGAGGAACAAACACCCTCGACGAGGACGGGCTCCAAGCCGCGCCTTTTCGGCGAGCGGTGATGCGCCCGACCTTCGCCACCCACGTGCACCAACTATTATGTAACTACTTCTCACCCGCCCTATACTTCAATAAATGATTTATTAATTCCGTATGCTACAATCCTGTGAAAAATACGAAGGTCTTTGTTAATTAAAAACATTTTTAACCCAAGTATTTATCCCGTTGATGTCTGTGTGTTACATTAGCTTAATTACATCACTTTTATCAACAAATTATTTCATTTTTCCACCGCACCGGAGATACACGCAGATTTGATTACACATAGTACAACACAATAACGCAAAAAGGTTATTACTTTTTTGTCATATGCCGCGGCGTATTTAGAAAAAAGAAAATACAAATATTTATTACTTATTATCTCACAAAGCACTCAAAGTATCAAGTTTTTACATCTTAGCAATTCCGTGCGTTGATTTCCTCTAAGTTACTCTCCTCGTATTTGTAAAACGTTATCAGGACGGGAAAGAAGTAGCACGTTGCATTTTAATCGGGTAATCTACACCGTCCCACCCTGCCGTTGGCAGTCCTGGCAGCCGTCCACGCCAGATGAAGGCGAAGGGGCGGTCCCCCGTGGGAGGGCGCGTCTCGCCGCGCTCTGACCCAGAGACAGCCCCGCGGCGCCGCCCGCCCACGCACGGCGGCCAGCTGCTCGGCGCGCAGCGGCGACAAAACAACAGACGCTATTAAATCGGGTGCGAAATTGAAGGCTGATTTACGGCTCATGGAGGGAAAATCCTGACGCTCTTTGGATTTTTTAAAAAAATGGACTGGAGTGATATTTTCCCCAGATCCTTAAATTATCCATTAATGTAGAATCCTTCCGTTCATTGACGGTAACACCCAAAGGCTAATTTTGCAGGCGGTTGTCTTGCTTGGGTGCTGCTTCCTTTCCAATGCTCCCCCCGTGCGCTCCGTCAGCCCCAGCGACCTGCGCCCATCCGCCTTGGACGCTTCAGGCAGGACTCCGTGCGGAGGCGTCATTCTCCTTCTGATCGATGGAGTCAGAATTCGAGCTAACTCGACATTCTCTTGCTTTTTAGCGGAATCTCCTTAATATAATTCTCTAAGGGTTTGGACCACCATCACACAAGCCAGCAAGTGTGCTATTGCTGGATCAGGATTTATCCCCCACCCCCCGCCTACATCAGATTTAAAGACGAAAACAATAGAAACTCGCAGATGGTGATGAACGGAAAAGAAGCAGATGCGCACGCAACCCGTAACACACGGATCATCGACATGCATTACCAACGGGCGTAGCTCCGAAACGAGCGAGATGTGCTCTTAAAAGCAGGTGTTCGTGTCCCGAAGTGGCACGAGTAGTTTGTGCCTTAATCTATGAAACGAGACAAATTTCAACGCCCCCTTGCGTGTTCGGGGGGCACCCTTCTCCGTAGCACGGGTGGACGAAACGAAAACTGGGAACCAATATGAACCATTTTACTTTTAAAATAATTACGCAAATGTGCTGAATGTTCCTCGAATCCAACTAGTAGCATTTAAACTCATTAAAATAAAATCGCCATATATGTAAGCACAGTTCATTTCGAACACAAAATACTCTTATGTACAATAATAAGCTGCACTGAAAAATTCAGTAGAATTTGCATTTTTACTAGATGACTACATTTTTATTAGATTTACTTCGAATAATATAAATAACTATATTACTGTGTTATGTTACCGAGAAAGGAAAGCTGCATTTTGGATCTAGGACCAATGCTTACAACCATCGTATTATTTGCTCAGTGCATCAAAGGAAAAAAGGCAAAAACTCCGATTGAGGGCAGAACTATAATAAAAATAATTACTAAGGCACGAATTTTATTGATATTAATTATTTCAGTTTTGCATACTCAGGATAATATAATGTAACAGGAACACTTGCAGAACAAAACATTATGCTTGTTGTACAACATAGGAGCAGGAGTAGCATGGAAGCAATTTGTAGTGTGGAGCAAGGAATCTACTACGTAATTGGTTTGTGTCAGCGCGACTTTCGGCTTCAAAAATTTCAAATATGATGTCATATACATTTGTACTGTAGGAGTGATTTAGGCTTACATAAAACCCCCGCCCCTTTCCTTCCACTTTTCCTAACTATAAAACAGTAGGTTCTATGAACAAATGCTTGCATGATTCAAAATATCTAGATCATCGTGTGATTTGCAACTTGATCACCTTGTGAATCGATTCCAGTACCAAGTAGCAATAGGGGGAGTGGTTTGTAAAAATCTAATTGATTAAACATTTACTTGCAAGTGTTATTGGTTAAGGTTCAGGTACCAAAAGGTCAGAAATGTTTGAATTCAATGTTTTGTAATCAAATTTTTACACCGAAAACATTCGTTAGGAGCAATAGAAACACCTAAGGTAGGCTTGGTTTCAAGTCGTTGTGGAGTTAAGACCACCCTGAGCAAGAGATGTGTGTATGTGTGGGCATCTCTTGTATGCGTGTATTCATGAACTAACAATAGCAGTTTACCACCCAGAAATGTTTAAATACCTCCCCCTCCCCCGAAATTTCAATTTCCAATATAAATGTGGAATAATTAATCATTGAAAGCCATGTTAAGACGCGTGTTGATTACAATCTTATTGAAATATAAACAAGTTAGATAATTTTTCATTTTCATCAGGTTGACAAATTGTATTATAATATTAATAATACATTGTTTTTCTTGAAAATGAAAACGATGAATTGCAAGTCCAAATAGGTAAAGGAGTAGCTTTTAATTCGATTTATTTTGCAATTACTGTTTTCCGTCTTCTGATTCGTCGTTGAATACGCAGTTTGCAAGATTCTTTGAGACTCGAGTTGAATGTTATCCATTCCAAAATGGTAGGCCACTTGGTGACCATTGCTCTAAGGCTTGTGTGTTTGGTGAGGAGCCTTATCATTGCCGGCGCGTGGCCGGGTTCGGATCCCCGTCGAGTGAGGCGGCGCGGCGCCGAGGTTGGCAGCGCCGCCGCCGGCCGCAGACTGCGTAAGGCGCGCGCCGTCGGCCTGGGGCTGGCGGCGGCGCGGCGCGCAGATCGACCCGCGGCGCTGCTATGGCAACGGCCGGCGGCGGCAGCGGAGGCGGCGACGGCGGCGGCGGCAACGAGATGAGGCGGCCCTCACTTCCTCGTGGCGGCGGGTCTGTCTCGCCGTCCCCGGCTCTCGCCCCCGCCCCCGCCGCCCACGCCTCCACTCTACACCCAAGCCCTCAGAGAAAGCAACCGAAGACCCGGCTCGTTTATTAGGACAGTTAAGAAACGAAGCCAGAGCGATAACGAATTTGTAATTTCCACAGCAAATTCTAGGGAAGTCCCGCAAACGAGAACTTGAAATAAACCCGCAATACAAGAAATAGGTCAAGGTAATATTTCTAGTAACATTTTCTTGAATATGTTTTAAGCACGTTTAGACCTGATATGGTGGTAAATGATACCAAACAGAAGTCATTCAACGCTTTATTATAAAACACTACGCACTGAAGCTAAATTAGCTTCCTTCGCTTTTCAAACAATATTTGGTGAAATGGGTCAATTTCTATACAACATTAAAATGTATATTAGGAAGTTCTAAAACCATAATTCTTTGCCAGGTTAGTAGTTCGCACAGTACTTTCACTTCAAATTTTCTATCGCATTTTATTTTCAAATGTTATAATCATTCAGTGAAATCGAAAAGGGACTCGTCATCTACTTTTTCCTTCCATATTATATACCCTTCAAATACAGTGAATTCAAGAATTCTTCATAGAACTTCGAATTACAGTCCAGAAGAATGGAAGTTGATAGCTATTATCAACTAATTCAGCAAGACAATCTCAACAATAATGACGATTTAAAGTCTCGTAGATTAGTAAGTCACGAAAATCAGCAGTACATGGGGCATAGAATTGTTTTGAGTGAACTATAACATACAACAAAAGTATTCTCCGTGCAATTGATATGCGCATATGACGTAGTCTTCGCTTGTGAAACGTGGTGTGGGCGAGGTGCACTATTCGCACCTACTGAGTTTTACATATATAATAGCCTAAACAATTATATAGCCACAGAAGGACAAACATCTGTAGAACATTACCAGGAAGAAATATCAGATTGGCGTTTAATATAATCCAAAATTCCTCCTTCCTTGGAAACTTCATAAATAACTACATGTTTTTACGTAAATAAGATAACTGCATTTAATATTTTTTAAATCTATAAGACATTCTGAATAAT